GCAGGGCTGCTGTTCACCCCGCGACAGGCAGGGGGCGCTCGGGGTCTTCCAGGGCGCTTGCTCCCCGGACTCTCGCCTAGGAGGTGCTGAGACAGGGTCCCCCACCTTCACGCCTTCACGTTGATAGGACCTTCATTACCCCTTTACCCTTTGCCAGGTGACGGTCTCGGCGTGTCCGATCTCCTTCGGTTCTCAAAACCAGCACTTAAGCGAAAGAACATAATTGTACAGATGGGGAGACCAGGCTTAGAGGTTACATGAAGTCCCCGAGGTCCCATTGCCTGCGTGTGATGCGGCGAGGACAGAGCCTACACCCTCCCCCACACCCCGCGAGGTCGCTGAGGGGCAGTGCTCTGGGAGGAGAGGGCGCAGGAGCAGTACGGTGGCCGAGCTGCCCGCCGTTGTCACAGTTGTCACCTCTTTGTCCCTACAGTAAAGACGAGTCAGCGTTCATGGTGGACCCAGTGACGGCTCAGGGAGTGGCCGTGGTGATAGTGGCTTACGACATTGCCCCCAAAGGTAATGGGTGGTCTTGCCGGTTCCGGGGGCTGGTGGGCTTTGGAGGAAAGTGAGACCCAGGTCACCCTTCCTCTCTCGGGGCAGGCTCCCTGGGCCAGATGGTGGACCAGGTAACACGGAGCGTCGCCTTTCTCCAGCAGCGGTATCCGCGCAGCCAGTGGGTATCACGGCGGGGTCCCCCCCGGTCAGAGGGTCGTGGAGGAAGTGGGGAAGGGAGCCCGGGTTCAGCCCCTGCGATGCAGCCCGGCCGCCCTTCTGGCCTGTGGAGCAGAGGACACAGCGGGACTCCTCGGCACTGGCCAGGGGCTTTGGGGAGCCTGAAGGCAAACCTGTCACTGCCCCGCCCCATCCAGGGGAATTTACCTGTGTGGACACTCAGCTGGGGCCCACCTGGCCGCCATGATGCTCCTGGTGAACTGGACCGAGCGGGGCGTCACGTGCAACTTGAAAGGTCTCCATGGCGACCGCGCACGGGCTGGGCAGCTCCCCCCTCCCCCACCGGCCCGAGGCACTGCTCTAAGCTGCTGGAAGTCCCCACGGGTGGGCTGGGCTTGACCAGGGGCTCCTGGGAGCAGGGCCACTGGCTTCTCTTCTCCCTGATCTGGTCTTGTCTCCCTGGCTGTGGGGCCCGGACCGGCCGCCTTTTGCCTGCTCCGCGCCTGCGTGAGACCTGGTCTGAGTGGCGTGACGGCCCCACTTGCCCCTCTGACCACTTCACAGGCTTTTTCCTGTTGAGTGGGGTCTACGACCTGGAGCCCCTCGTGCACACCTCTAAGAACGCCCCCCTTCTCCTGACCCCGTGAGTCGCCTTCTTCCCGCCCCCCCCTGCTGGCCCACAGCCTGGGAGGAGGGGCTGGGGTGGGACATGGGCTTCTCTCGGTCCTCATCCCCACCCCCACCCCCACCCCCCACCAGGGAGGACGTGCAGAGGACCAGCCCACAACGGCTCCTGGAGGCAGCCCCCAGGCAGCCCGCAGATCCGGCCTGCCGCGTGCTGGTGATTGTGGGCCAGCATGACAGCCCCGAATTCCTGCGGCAGTCCAGGGAGTTCTACCAGGTACCCCGAGCACCCTGCTTCCGGCTGGAGGTTGGGGGTCCCACAGCCTCATCACCCTCACCTGTGTTTCCCCCCAGCAGCCCCATCAGTCCCTCACTTGCTGGATGTTCTGTGAGCCCCTCATGTGTATGGGCTCAGGGGGAGACCCCCCTCTCCTCCTGCGGCCTCATGCCTCTTCCTCATCTCCCCCTCCCCCCAGACACTGTGCCGAGGAGGGTGGAGAACCTCCTTTGAAGAACTCCAGGACGTGGACCACTTCGAGATCGTCTGGAAACTAACCCAGAAGGACTACGTGCTCAACCAGGTGGGTGTGCCCCTTCACTGGGGACAGAATGGGTCCCCGGTGGCCCCTGCTCAGAAGGAGAGGTGGGGAGGCGGGGGACACGGAAGAGCCACTTCCCCGGGCTTTTTGGTGTCCCCCAGGAGGGTGGGGGACCCGAGGGAAGGAATGGAGCGCCACACTTGCTTCCTGCACTTCACCTCCCTCGGGAACAGCCCCAGGAGACCCACAGAGCCTGGTGCTGGGCGCACGAGTGGGACCTTCACGGGGCTGCGGGTGGGGAGAGGCAGGCGCCAGGTGGTATCCACCCGTCCGAGTCTCAGCATAAAAGCGAAGCCAACTCCATGTGGGGAAGGGTGGGTGAATTTGGTGTATAAATGTTTATTACAATTTTAATATGGAAAACCCTTTTTAAAGTCAAAGGATAAACTGGGAAAAAAAACATGTGCCCCAGAACTGGCAGAGAAAGAGTTACTACTTTTTTTATTTTTTTCTGGGCAAGCGGGCACTTGATTAGCTTCACTTTTTAATCAGCGGCCGCCTCTGACGGGCTTTCAGTCCTTACTGCAAGAGCCCTTTCAAGTCAAAAAGGAAGAAGCTCAGCCCCGGCTGGTGTGGCTCAGTGGGTTGAGCGCTGGCCTGCCAACTGAAAGGTCGCCAGTTCGATTCCCAGTCAGGGCACATGCCTGGGCTGCAGGCCAGGTTCCTGGTGGGGGTGCAGGAGAGGCGGCCACACTTGGATGTTTCTCTCTTTCTCCTTTCCTTCCCCTCTTCTAAAAATAAATAAATACATACATACATACATATTTTTAATAAAGATTTTATTTATTTTTATTTTAGAGAGGGAAGGGAGAGAGAGAGAGAAACATCGATGTGTGGTTGTTCGGGGCCATGGCCTGCAACCCAGGCATGTGCCCTGACTGGGAATCGAACCTGTGCTGCTTGGTTCACAGCCTGCACTCAATCCACTGAGCTACGCCAGCCAGGGCTAAATAAATAAATATTTTTAAACATAGAGCCTTTCTTGGCTCATGGGTCACACCTAGGGGGGCAGCAACCAGGAGGTCAGTGTGCGTAGGTTGGGAGCTTCATGAGCTCCCATGGGGAAGGTTCCTCATGGGAGCGGGGGAAGGCTCCTGAGTTGCATTGCTGTGATCGACAGTGCGGGTTGTTTGATGGGATTCCTCCGAGAGATCCTCACAAGAGCCTCTCCCATGCTGGGGCCTGGGTCTCCTCCCCACTGCAGCTCATCCTGAAGACAATCTTCCAGGACGGCCTCTGAGGCCCGGCCAGCACGCACCCGGCCTGCGAGTCTTCTCCAGAGGGCCTGACCGCACCCCTCCCTCCCACCCGCACTTCTCTGCCGCCCGGCAGCCTCCATTTGCCCACCCACCCTGGCGAGAGCCCATTCTTCCCCTTGCCCTGAGCAGAAATCGTGCCCTGGTCTGGATTGAGTGGCTCCAGGGACTGTCTGGCCCAGGGCAATGCAGTGTGAGGCTCAGCACCTCAACTGAAATTGGAATCTGGAAGGCCTGCAGGGAACGGTCTCATGCTGTACCACTCACAGTCAGGAGAAGACTAACCCTGCATCTGCAACAGGAAGGCGTGTTGACTACATAGGCAAGAGGAAGATTCCTTCTTGTCCAGCAACAAGCCCAGCCAATGGAAAGTGCTGCAGCTCAGCCAATGAGAAGCCGCATCACCCTGAACTCTAATGAACTTTTTTCCCCCTAAGGATTTTGTTGTGGACCCTACTTTCCATTTTTTTTTTGCCCTGGCTAGTGTGGCTCCATGGACTGAGTGTCTGCCTGCAAACCAAAAGATCTCCAGTTCGATTCCCAGTCAGGGCACATGCCTGGGTTGTGGGCCAGGTCCCCAGTGGGGGGCGTGTGAGGGGCAGCCAACTGATGTTTCTCTCCCTTTCCTTCTTCCTCCCTTCCCCTCTCTCTAAAAATAAATACATGAAATCTTTAAAAAAAAAGTTTTCCATTTTGTATAACTCCTGGGAATATCTGTTTCTGAGTTATGATGCTGTCAGATTCATATGAATCATTTAATAAAGCCAATTAGAGCTTTCCATTTACAGAGGTGAATGTTGTTTTGTAACAGCTCTGACGCCTGTGTGACCTCTGTGGACATCATGTATGCCGTACAGATCTTAATTGTCTCATCTGTTACATGGCAAGTTGTAACACCTAACAGCTAGAAGGCTAGAATCACATTATCTATGAACTAAAACTGATAAGAAAAGAAGGGACAACTCAGTAGACAAGTGTACAAAAAGTACACGTTGGCAAAAACTTGAAAGGTGCTGGCAAGGCAAACAGGCATGGTGGATGGCAAGGAGTCCTACTGCAGCTTCTCGGAGAATAATTTGGTGCTAAGTGTTACAATTTTAAATGCACATTAGCCTAGAAACCCACTTTAAGAAATCTAGCCCCTGGTTGCAAAGTACCAGAACACAAAGAGACTCATACAAAGTATTTATTGCAGTACTATTTATAATGGCACGAAATTAAAACCCGAGGGCCCACCAACAGGCGCATGATGGAGGGAGGATCCGGATGCCGCCGCCTGGAGCTCCAGCCATTGACTGAAGAGCTAGCTCATTCCGGAGGAATTCGGATGGAAAGGGAAAAACAAAGGTCCAAGGGTCCGTTTCTGGTCTTCCAGAAAGCCCCAGTGAGAAGACGAAGAGAGACGAGTTAACAGCTCCCTCGAGCGAGGGTGGAGGTTGCGCCGTGGCTTTCATTCACAGGACATCTTTTCCTTGGAAGATGCGCCGCCCGGACGGACGAGTCTGGGCACAAGGTCCAACCCGTGCAGCCCGAGGGCAGAAGGAGCTGGACCGAGGGGGTTCCGGCCTGGGCGCGCATAAAAAATGAGGGTTTGCAGGTCGAAGGGCTTAATACATAGGTACTCGACAGGTGCCCCCCCTTAGGTGCGTTCCGGGGGCTCTCGCCCACCCTCAGCTCCTCTCCCCACCACTCCTCGCTCGGCGTCTGAGAAGAGGCGAACTCGGGACCCAGGTGCACAGGTGCGCACGAGGCAGAAGCCGCGCTGCGCCGCGCAGGAGGACTACAACTCCCAGCACGCCCCACGGCGCCCAGCCTCGCGTTCCCAGAAGGCCGCGGGAGCCCGCTCACCCATTCAAAAGCGGAGGTTGCGGACTTGTTTTTCGGCCGCTGCCAACCGCCGGATTTGAATCGCGGCGCCGCTTCCTGGCGCCGGCAGCAGGGTGGCGGTGAGATGGGCGCCCCTTCGTTGCCGGAGACCTGGAAGCCCTTCCTCAAGGACCACCGCCTCGCTACGTTCAAGAACTGGCCCTTCTTGGAGGGCTGCGCCTGCACCCCGGAACAGGTGAGACCGAGGGGCCTCGCGGGTCCCGCGCCGGAGCCCCGACCCCGGCCTCCGGCTCGTCCGTGGGCTCCCGGGGCCCGGGCCGCGCCCCGCCGGGGTTCTGAGCCGTGCTCTCCCTCGCAGATGGCGGCGGCCGGCTTCCTCCACTGCCCCACGGAGAACGAGCCCGACTTGGCCCAGTGTTTCTTGTGCTTCAAGGAGCTGGAAGGCTGGGAGCCAGACGACGACCCCATGTGAGTACCCCAGGCCAGCCTGGCTCGGCCCCTGGGCGCCCGGCTGCATCCGGGGCTTCTGTTTTGGGCTGAGCTCGGGAAAAGTATTTGAATTTCCAAGACCCTTAGTGAAGGAGTCGCGGTTTTCCGACCTCATTTTGGACCCTGAACAGCTGTCGCGAGTGGCTGAACCTCTGTGTGGTGGCGCCCGGGTGATGCTCTCAGCCTCGTCGTCGTGATTTGGCCAAACGTCCCTGGGGGCGCGCTGGAGAGGGGCTCATTCTTGTAGGCACCGGGTGCCTGTCAGGGTCGACAGAACCTGGGAGCAGGTCGTGTTGTGACCTAGGGACGAGCAGGTGCCTTTCTTGTAGCACAGTTTTTAAATACGAAGCTTTTTTTTTTTTAAGATTTTATTTATTTATTTTTATGGAGAGGGAAGGGAAGGAGGAAGAGAAGGAGAGAAACATCAATGTGTGAGTTGCCTCTTGTGCGCCCCCTACTGGGGACCTGGCCTGCAACCCAGGCATGTGCCCTGACTGGGAATTGAACCAGTGACCCTTTGGTTCACAGTCCTGTGCTCAATCCACTGAGCCACACCAGCCAGGGCTAAATCCAAAGCTTTGTTGAGCTGTTGCTCACACACCACAAAAACCACCCCTTTAACCCTGCGGAGGTCGAGCTCAAAAAAATGGCAGCGTTGGGTGCCTGCATCCATCCGAGAGACACATCCATTACTAGCATGTGCTGAAATGCGGAAAAAAAATTAAAACCACCGCAAATTTGCATTTGTTGTATTTATATAATAAATTACATGGTTTTTCGTTTTTCACTTACAATCTAGAAATTATTAAACAAAGAAATATGAAAACATAATTTAAAACTTTCTTTTCAAAGAACAGGAATATGGATACTGCTAAAAACTACAGCCAAGAATGTCTTTAACACTCATTAAGTAGCATCTTCGGTAGTCAGCTTTGCGAAACGTTGGTAACTGTCATCGCAGGCGAGGGCGCTGCGCTGAAGCGTGAACCCTTCTCACACGCTTGCAGAAATGTTTCTTAAGGATTTTATTTATTTACTTTTAGAAAGAGGGAAAGGGAGAGAGGAGGGGGAGAGAAATCTTGTGTGAAACCATCAGTTGCCTCTCGCGCGCCCCCTGCTGGGGACCTGGCCCGCACTGCAGGCATGTGCCCTGACTGGGAGTGGAACCCCCCAGTCCCTTTGGTTCCCAGGCCAGAGCTTAGTCCTCTGAGCCACGCCAGCAAAAATATTTTGATAAGCGACTCGTTTTGGATGCATAGTGCTAAACGCATCTTTTTCTTTTCCTGCTCGTTGTGGGAGCCGTGTCTATGCCGTCATTAGAATCTCCTTCCACTTGAGTTGGAAATGGATGGCGTTTCAGGCGTGAGGACTTATGCGTACTTGGAGAGGTTTTCGGACACCTCCTTTTTGTGTTCTGATGCTAACTGCGTTAGGAGATTGCTAATAACCATTCTGCACCATTCCCAAGTTGCAGCTCAGCATGTGTAGTACTTGAGCGTTTATTTCTGCAGCGTTCAGAGAACTGGGTAGGCAACAACCACCGGCCCCCTCCTGGTGTTCCTGGCCACCTCATCCGTCCCTGTCGTCGGGCCCACAGTGTCCGCTCCTGACTTGGTTTGGTTGTAATATTCTATTTTGTCAGGCTTTTGTGAATGTGAATTTACAGCGTCATCACAGTGCCGTTAATCACGTTTTCTCCCTGTCGGGGTGTAGGAGATATAAGTGTGCAGTCTGCACCACGCCCGTTTTTAGAACACACGAATTCAGGGCGTTGCTGGGGTTTGTTCTTACAGGCAGTGCCTATGCGTGAAAGTCGCTTCTTTTTCAAGTCAGATGAGGTTCATGGCAGTGAACCAGTGACCCTTTGTCCTGGGAGAGGATCTGTCCGCTTCCTGGGGTTTGCTCTAAGCAGGTAACTTTGCATCAGACCTGATACGATTGTGAATAAATCTAAATCCTCATGAAGATGCCGTAAGTCTGAGTGCAGCCCCCACCGCCCACAGCCCCTAACACCCACTGGTGGGACTGACCGCGCACGGTGAGCCAGCTGGACGCGGGGGGGCTTGCAGGTGCCTTCCGTGTGGGTGTGCCTGCCTGTTGAGCATCTTTCCCGTGGACACCGGCCCGAGATGGAGCCCATGTATTTATTTATGCGTAATAAATTAGATCCAAGCTGTTATTTATGGTAAAGAAGTTCCAAGTTGTCTTGGCATTTTTTGCATTTGGCTGAGCTAATGGAAGTTGACACAAAGTATTCTGTGGCTGTTTTCTAGTTTGCCTTCTTACTGGATTTTCCCTCCGCTTTGATTCTTTATCCTTTCCAAAAAAAAATACTCTCCATTCATGTCTAATTCCTCTTCACCTTCTTCGATAGACATATCTTGCTCGGCACCCGAATCTTCTGGACGAACTTCCGCGTCGTCTGCCCCTTCTGAGTCACTTCTGTTTTCGCGTTCGACTCTCATTCTCTTTCGTGGGGCGCGAGCAGCGTTGGCTGAAGTTCTTCCGGGTCTCTTGGCTCATCCGCTTGATACATTTTTCCAGCCATTTTCAGTGGCAAATGAAAAAAAAAAACCCACAACAATGAGTTCAAAGTTCACACACACACACACACACCCCAACAAACAAGAACCCACTGCAGCGACGCTGACCCCGGAGATCGAGGGATCTCCTACGGTTCCCTGGGGAACGTCACACACCCTTAGGAGACACGCGCTGTAACCAGACTGGTGGCTTAGACGTTATGGCTTGACGGTAGTCACGTGCAGACGCATAGCTAGTTGTGACCTTGAACCTGTGCACCCGATAGACGCAACGATGTTTCAGAAGAGAGTCTGTGTCTCTCAGATCAGCCGCGACCCTGGATGGTTGAAGTGGTCCGCTCCCCTGGTGTTGTGGATGTTGTTCTGTAAGGACCGGAATTTGTGTGTGTGTGTGTGTGTGTGTGTGTGTGTGCATGGACTGAGGGGGAGCCGGCAGCTGTCTTTCTGCCGTGCGACGCCACATTCTTTGGTTGCCTCCCCCCATCAGAGCCGATTGTTTGCACGGCTCTAATTTTTTTTCCTGTAGAGAATCCACTGAGTTGTTTCTCGCCTTGGGCAGGACGTGTGTTTGCCCTGGCGGTGAGCGGGCAGGGCTCCCGGGGAGAGTGCCCGTGGTGGTGCTCCTGGGCGCTGGCTCATTTGCAGACTGTGATTACTGCTGGCTGTCGCCGCGGACCTCGTGAGGCTGTGTGTCTGTCCCAGCGCTGTGCCGGTTCAGTTCAGCGCGGTGTGCTCCGCAGCGCTAGGTCCCCAGGCGGGAAACGAGGGTGCGGGCCAGAGGGCTGTGCTCACCCCAACCAGCAGGCGGTGTGACAGTGCCCGTGGAAGGAGACTGCTCCTGGCTGTCCCTTGGGGGTGGGGCTCCGAGGGGCCTGACTGTGGGGCCCTGGACTGCAGTGTGGACCCCGCTGCCCACTCACGGCTGCGGGGCTCCAGGCTGTGAGCGCCGGCCGGAGGACTGGGGGCGGGGCAGGGTGCTCAGACCAGCTGTGGGGGGAGGTGGCCTGGCACCCAGCGCTGGTTCGGTCCTCTTCGGGCCTCCCTGCGCCCCTGCAGCCGGGCAGGGTGTCCGGGAGGCTGGGCAGGGGGCGGGCGGGGGGCTGTCGCCCTTCTCCCTTCCCCGACTCCCGGGTCCACGTGCTCCTGTGTTGGTTTTCCAGGGCGGAACACAGAAAGCACTCGCCCGGCTGCGCCTTCCTGTCTCTCAAGAAGGCGTGTGAAGAATTAACCCTCGGGGAGTTTTTGAAGCTGGACAAAGAGCGAGCCAAGAACAAAATTGTACGTATAACCTGCAGCAGGAGTCCAGAGCCAGCCCCTCGCGAGGTCTTTAACCCTGACCTTCCCAGCCCCTCACTCGCCTGCGGGTCTGACGATGCTCAGCTGCGTGCGTGGGGGCGCACAGGGCGTGGGCGCGCCCTCAGGAGAGGTGTCCCCCGCGGGAGTGCCCTCTGCCGGCCGGCAGTCCTGGCGGGAGGTGGGCGTGGTGTGTCAGAGGCGGGAACAGAGGGATGGGGCGGGCGCCTAGCAGAGCTCGCGCTGGGGAAAAGGTGCTGGTCCCACTGGAACTTGAGGGGACTTCTTCGGGGGGGTGGGGCAGCCAGGGTGACTGGGAGATGCGGAGAGTGAAGCTCTCAGCCGGGGTACAGAGGGGGAGGGTTGCCGGGGAGACCCCGGGGAGATCAAGGGTTGCCGGGAGACCGTGATGGCGGAGGGCCGCTCAGGTTCTGATGGGCGGTCTGTAAGAAGTGACTCGTGGGTACGAGGGTGAAACGCAGCTGGGCGCCCTCTGCCTTCCTGCGCCCAGCCTGGCCGCCCCACAGAGGGTCATGGAGGCGTGCTGATACCCTCGTAGCGCAGGTCTGGCGCGGTGTCCCGCCGCCTGGTCGTCTGTCCCTCCCAGGCCCAGCTTGGGGAGCACTGTCTGCTGGCTGGAGGGCCCTGGCGGGGGCCCGGGGAGGCCCCCACTCTGTGTCCGCCGCCCTGGATCGCCTCTGCGGCAGAGTGCGTGGGCCCCGATCTCTGTGAGACCGTGTTCTCCTTGGGGTTCGGTTCTCACAGCTGCTTACAAAGGTGAAGACCCGAGGGCTGTGCAGAAACAGGCCCGGCTGTAGGTGGGGGGCGCCCCTGTGGGGTTGGGGAGCAGCTGGGAGAAAGCGGGGCGAGTGGGCGGAGGGTGCCGGGGGCGTGGCCGGCGAGGCTGAAGCGGCTGCGGGTCGCTGAGCAGGACGAGGGAGTCACGGTAGCCGCGACCAACAGGGAGACGCTTCGCTGGCAGTCCCGAGCAGCGCCCGGGTGCCCAGGGACCCTGTGGTCTGGCGGAGGCGGTGGGCAGCCTGCCCGGGAGGAAGCCCCCGGGGCGCGGTCTGCACCTGCCGCGTGGCCAGCGGTCATTCGGCAACTGGTTTCTGTCCCCCGGAGCCAGACCAGAGGGCACTTAAAGCAGCGCGTGAGGTTTTACTTGTTCGTTTAGTTACAAACAACATGGGCTTCTGTAGGGTACATTTCCTTCCAGATCATTAAAAAATTTGCCTATTTTAGATAAGAGTAGAAAGGTTAAGCCATCCGTACCTAATTGGTTTATGAAACTTATGCAACAGGAAGGGTTTTCAAGTCCGTGGCCCTCAGCACACTGTTGGGAGGTCCTTGTGCCTGGCCGGCGGCAGCGCAGCCCCGGGCCCCCGCGGCCACGGTCGCTGAAGCGGAGCTCCAGCCGCACCACCGCACTCCCCGCAGCAGCGGCTGCACCGGCCAGTGCTCCTCCCGCGGAGAGTTCTGCCGGACGCGGCCGCCCTAGGGCGCCTGCCGGTTGTGAGGCTCGGTGCGAACACCTCGTCGCTGATACAAAGCAGGTCCCTGGTGTCCCCCTGTGGATGGATGGTGAGGCCTGGGTCAGAGCCGGGGCCGGGACGGGCGTGACCGGGGGCCTGTCCGCATGACACGAGCGCGGCCCCGGCCTCGGGGCCGTCTGGGCACCTGGCTCCTTGAGGTGGGCTGGCCTGCGAGGCCGGTCTCTTCTGCAGGGCGGGCGGGGGCAGGAACTGCAGCTGGGAGCCGGGTGTTAAGCCCGCACTGTGTGGGCACCGCACCGGGCGCTCCTCGCGATCCTGCGCGCCTCCGAGGCCCCCGGACCCACCCCCGAGGGCTCCTGCGGGCGGGTGCGGCAGGGCCACCACCGGGGCGGCCGGCGGCCGACTCCCGCGGCTGCACCGCTGCCCCTGTCGTCGGGGGAGAAGTGAAGTGAGTGAGAACCACCGCGAACACAAGTCCGTCCCAGAGGAAACTCCAAACTCATTGGGAGCGAGTGGGGAGCCCCTCTGTGGGCGCCCTGCCTGATGACCCATGCGGTCAGCGGCTGCTGTAGGATCGCTCAGCGGGTCTTATTGTGGTTCCCAACACCAGGCTTCTTGGGGGGTTTTACCCCACCCCACCCCCATTGGAAATGTGTGAAAGTAGGCTGCCCCCTCCGGGGGGGGGGGTGCCTCCCGGGCTCCGCCGGCAGGGGTCCGGCCGGGGTCCGCGGCCAGGCCCCCCTCCCCCACCCGTCAGGGGCTGCTGCCTCGCGGTTCCGTCAGCGTGTATCTTTACAACGGAATTTTCTTGTTTGATCTTACAGTAAGTAAGCCTCACACACGGGTAATATTTAACATACAAAAAAGGTACATGCTGAAAGTAACCTTTACAGCGTTAGCCGTTATCGTTTTTCTTGTTGGAAAACATTTACCCTGAGAAAGTTGTTGGTGGTTAAAGTGACCGGCGTCCAGGAGGATGCGTGGGAGGCGGGAGGGCAGCCCCCGCTGGCTGGGGCCTGCCCTTGGTGCCGCCCTCCCGGCCCCATGCTCCCGAGGGCGCGCGCACGCGCACGCACGCACGCACGCAGTGGAGCGGCGGAGCAGTGGTCGCGAGCTGGGTTTAGGGGAGGCTGGCGGCGAAGGTGTCTGTGTCTTCGGAGAAAGCTGGTGCCGGCGGGCAGCCCTCCCCTGGGCAGGGCGGGGGCTCGGACCCTTCCCGGGGGGCTCGGGGCCTGGCGGGGCGATGCGGAGGGCAGGGCTCTGCCAGGCTCGCTGGGCGACCAGCCGGGCGCGTCCTGGGCCCCAGTCTCCCTGGCCTTAGCAACGGCCTGTGATGGGGAAGCCGTTGTTTCCATTTCCTGAGTCTCCTCTTCATTTCCAGGCAAAGGAGGCCACCAGCAAGCAGAAGGAGTTTGAGGAAACGGCAAAGCAAGTCCGCCGGGCCATCGAGCAGCTGGGAGCCAGGAAGTGAGGCCGCCCCCTCTCCTCCGCGGGCGGGCCGCGGCCTTGGCGGGCACGGCCGGCTGCGCCCTGCCGCCACAGTGCCCCAGGCAGGGAGAACCTCACGACTTCGAAATGAGAGTATTTAAACTGTGTTTCTTTTCTCTTGGGAGTGGGGCCACGGGCTCCTTCTGTCTTCGCCTCTGATGTCACCGAGTCTGGTGACCGGCCCCTTTTCCGCCGGTGTTTCTGCGCTGTCGGCCCCGGGTGCGGCCTGGGCGGAAGGGCAGCAGAGCCCTGCCCAGCAGAGTGGCGGGCCTTCCGCCGCCCGGCCGCGGAGCCCGAGACCCGATGTGGATGCAATCATAGGTCCGCTGTGGCTGGACGAACCGAGAATTAAGGGTGCCATTTAAAGTGTCGTTTGCATAACTGAGTTCACCGTGTGCGTTTCTTGTGTCCCCCGTGCTCCATGGGGCGTCCCTCGGACAGGCCCGCGGCACCTGGGCTGACGGCCGCCGGGGGGGAAGGGCTCTCCTCGCCTGTCTCGTCCCTTCGTGGTCTGCAAGGCCGAGGGGGGGACAGCTGGTGGCCCGGGCTGCCTCTGGACTGTGGGGGGGGGGCGCCCATGACTGAGGCCCGAGTGGCCGGGAGGGACGGAGGGGGCTGGAGTCCTGGGTAAAGCTGGCCTCTGGCCGTGAGGTCCGGTGGAGACCCTCACCGCCACTGGGCACGTGGCAGGGTCACAGCGTTGCCAGGGCCCTGCCAGCACAGGCTGCAACCCCTCTCTGGCTGGGGGGTGGGGGTGGCTTCTTTCTTCCCGGGAGTCCTGCCCTGGGCGGGCTGTCACCCGTAGGCCAGCGGGCAGGCGGGCAGACCGCCGTGGGAGGAGACCCACAGGAGGGCCTCCTGGTCTTGTCTTCCCAGGGTTCTGCAGGCAGGCATCTCCCGCCCAGCGCCGGGGGCGGGCGGCTGGTACTTCCCCTGTCTTTCTAATCTGAATCTTCCTAAAGTAGGACATGGAATAAATGAACTTAAAAATTGTATTGAAAAAACCTTTTGGAAAAACTTTTAAAATAATGTTTTCTTGTGTCTGCACCCTTACAAGACCATAAACTCAGTGATGCTTGAGTCTCAGCCCTGGCGTGCGCTGGGCAGAGGGTCTGAGCAGCCAGGGTGGGAGAGGTGGTCGGATCCAGGGTGACCCCAACACCCCCCCCAAACCCCGACCCCCCACTGGCTCTCAGCTGCAGTCTTGTCAGCCAGCCCACGGGGGCCGCAAAGCCTCAGCTGGCTTTTCTCACTGTAGGTGCGCGGTTTCTGGGTGGTGGGGGCGGGAACCGGGACAAGGTCCTCGGCCGCCCCGGGGGTCCGCAGTGCCGAACTCCCAGGTGGTTCCAGTTCCTTCCCGGACCAGCACCGGCCAGCATGGCAAGTGAGCGCACGGCCACTCGAAGCGACTGGGGAGGCGGACGTGAACTTGAGGTGGACCTGGACGGAGAGCAGCGTGGCGGGAAGCACCGTCCGGCTGAAAGGGTCTCCTGTGAAGCTGCTACTCGGCGCGCCAGCCCAGGGCCCTGCAGGGCGCGCACTGGCCACTCCCTCCCCAGAGCAACGCAGTGGCCGCGTCCTTTCTAAACGACCCGGCCCGGAGCTGGGGGGACTGGGGGGCTGCTGCGGGCCGTCCCTCCGCACCACTGGTCCCGTCCGCATCGCTGCGACACCCCCCACATCCAGCCCCACCCCAGTGTCCTGGTGTCCTCCTCTGGGCCCGCTCACACAGGGCTGCGGCCTGACGGGAAGGGGATGGGTCGGGGCCAGCGCCTCCGTGGGGTTAAGCTGCGGGGTGGACTGCCCCCGTCCTATACCGGGAACCTCTGGAGGTCATCTTGGTTGTTTGAACAATAAAAACCATTTCATTCTAAACCTGGCTGAGGACCCTACTGGGTTTTCGAAGTGTTGCTGTCTTTTCAGGGTCAGTCCTTAGCCTGGCCCTGCGGGGGAGGGTGCGTCCCAGCCGCTATAGAGCTGGCGGGGGCAGGGGGGTGTGTGGGGGGGGGACGGCTGCTGGGACTGGAACCCAGGTCTGCGCCAGGTCCTCCAGACCCCAGCACCCAGCTGGCGACAGCAGAGGGAGGGGTGGAATCCATTTCTCTGGGCGCCCCAGGGGCATGGCGAGCTGGGCAGGCGAGTGGCGCACGGGCAGGACGGGGCTCTGCACCCGGAAGAGCCCCCGAGGTGCTCGGCGGTGTCCTGCTGCCTGCGGCGGCCCAGGCCCTCCGCCTGAGCTGGCAGCCTGGTGCCCACCACTCTGGCCATGTGAGTCCCAGGTGGGAAGGTGGCGGGGTCAGAGAGGGGCTCGGTTTCCCTTTGCATCCTGGGACTGGGCACCCCAGTTCTGCAGGCCTGGCAGGAGTCCTGGCTTGGGGGGGGGGGCCTGGGGGCAGGCAGGGAGCTGGGGCAAGCGTCCAGGCCACTCTTGCTGGGCAACGCCGGACGCCCGGGGGCTCCCCTGCCCTGTTGGGCCTCCAGGGCCGCCTGCAGAGACGAGAAAGGGAGTCCCAAAGGGGAAGCAGGTGCCGAGGGGTTGCGGTAGAGCAGGGCGGGGTGCTCAGTGGTCCCCCGGACTCGGGATATGGCTTGCATTCGCCCCGCTGCCATCAGTCCTAATGTGCCACAGCCATCCCCATTCCCGGGGACCTGGGTCAGGGGGAGAAGCCACCCCTGTCTCGGGGAGGGGGAGGGGGAGACAGGTAGGTACCCGCCGTGCTGGGCACGGTGCTGAGCACCATCTGCTACCTGCCCGTCCCACCGGCCAGTGGCCTTAGCAGTACTCACCGCTCACCCGTTTTACAGAAGGGAAGACCAGGGCCCGCGTCACCCCGGAGGGAAGGGCCAGGTGTCCTCGCTGGCTGGCGGGGCTCCCGGGCCTCTGTTCTGTCCCTGTGCCTCCAGTGGTGGGTGTTGTGGGGGGAGACAGTGGGCCCGACAGCCCCCCCGGATCTGCAGTGCAGGTGAGCCGAGCGAGCAAGCGAGCTGGACACACCCCGGCTTGTCCCTTGTTTTCAAGCCTCTGTCCTCGTCCTGGAGTGAGTGGCCACTGCTCCTCCCAGCCTCCAGGACCAGACCGTCCCATCTGCAGCTCCCTGGGGAAGGGCCGCAGTCGCCAGGGGCCCATGGGTGCCCTGCACGCGCAGGTGTGGAAGTCCTAGTGGGGCGGGGGGCGGGGCTGCCTGGGCGGGGCCTGGGACCCGGGGTGTGGCTGCAGGCTTGTTGAATGGAGGCTGCACCCCCGACAGGGTTCAGGGGACTCCGCTGAGACCCCAGCCTGCAGGCTGCAGAAGAGGCGCCCTTGGAGGGCCAGACAGGTAGGAGGCCAGACCACCAGCCCGCACTTGGTTTGCAGGGGCTGAAGCAGCTCACTTTCCTGCAGGCGGAGAAGTCGGGGTGACCGAGAAGGGTCCCCGGGCTGTGTGGCACCTGAAGCCCAGAACAGCCCCATCCTCAGGGCCTGCCGGAGTCTGGGCGTGTGCGGGGGTCGGGGAGGGGGCCTCTCTTGCCCCGTTCTCCCTCCCCGTCCCCCCTACTGCTGTAAAGATCATGGGGGGCTCCTGGGGGCACAGGCGCTGGCACCACCGTCGTGGGGTCCCCCTGAGAGGTGAAGAGCGGGGGCGCTGAGTGGGCCCCCCCCTCCTCCTGCCGTGTTAACAGTTCTCACTCCCCGCAGCAGCACGGAGCCCAGCGTTCTGTGGGCGGCGCCAGCCTGGTGCCTCTCAGACGTTCCCAGGACAGAGACCATGTGCCTCCGACTCGTGAACAGAGCCAGGGCCAGACCCGGGCTACCAGCCGCGTGCGAGTAGTATCCCTCCGCCCGGAGACCCCGAGCGTGTGTCTGGGTGTCGGCGCACCTGGAGACGTCGTCTTCTGCGGGCACAGCTCCTCGCTCCTCTGACCCCCGAGGACCACCCACTTCCAGTGCCAGAGGGGACCGAGTCCCAGGGGTGGGTGCCCTGGTGCCTGGTGGTGGGGGCACAGTGGTGGGGCTGGGCCTGCCTGGCACCGGTGGCCCCAGGAGGACCTGTCCCCCCGTCCGCAGCTGCTGTGGGCGTTTTCCAGCCTGGCCAGGTCCGGGGTGCCAGGGGCAGGTCTGGGAGGGGTGGGGTGCACGCCTGCAATGTTGAGGTGTGTGTGTGCATGGGGGGCTGGGGGGCCGGGTGCAGGGGTCCAGGGCGTTTCTTCCCTCTGTCCTGTCTGCTCCTCCCTAGCTCCAGGCCACGGGGCCTTCCCCTGTGCTTTGGACGTGGGCACCAGTGTCCCAGGGATGGAGGGGGACGGTCGGAACCGCCCCGTTCTTTTGCGAGTTTGTCCGTCCCTGAGTGCCCAATGCTCCGGGTGGCCACTAGGGGGCAGAAGCTCTCCCCGTGTCCGAGCCGATGGCCTGAGCTAGTGCTGCCCCCAAGTGGTCAATCTGGGAATGGCTCTCGTCTACCTGGAGAGGCCATCCCAGGTCCCAGCCCAGTACCTGGGAAGCACCCTGCGCTGGTCCCAGGGGAGGGGTGCCGGGTCCTCACCTGAGCCACCCAGCCCTGCTTATACACGTGGAGGTGACACTCCTGCCTGAGGAAGAGCTGGGAACCCCAGTGCCTGAAGTGACACATCATTTAGAAAGACAGGTGGGGCCAGTGTTGGCACAGGGTCCCATGGGCGCCACGGGCCCCATGCAGCTCCTCCAGGCTGAGCTCCAGAGCCACAGCTGACTCCCAAGTGCCGATTAGGGAATAGCAACCCCCCGAGACACCTGACCCCCATGTGCCGGCGAACAGTCCCACTAAATAACTTAACTGCACGAGTCCAGGATGACCGAACCCCTGTGACCGCTGGGCTGGCGAACTTGCACCCTCTGCTCTGAGGGCCCCTGCAGGGCACCACCTGCCCCCTGGGGGAACCGGTAGCTGGGCACAGCCATCAGCAGAAAACAAAGGGCACAGGGACACTGGGGAACCGGAGAGTCTAATAAAGGGACAACCTACCAAGGTGTGGCAGAGTGGAGGGAAGTCAGCAGGGACGGTGCAGGACCCCCAGGCCGGAGGGGCGAGGAGGGGTGACAGGGACCTGGGGACAGGGACAGGCAGAGAGAGCCCCGGCCTGGCTCGGGGACACCCTTCCAGGA